ATTAAATGAATTAAATAGAATACCACACCAGTTTATTCACCATCACAGAGTGCCACAAGCTGAATAGCATAGAAAAAATGACTTCCCCAAGGTTCAAGAGACTGGAATTCTGGATCAAGATGTCAATGGATGGCTTCTCTTGAGGTCTCTCTCCTTAGATTATAGACAGTGCCTTTGCCAGGTCCTAATGTGGTCCTTCTCTGTGTTTGTGTGTCCCTAGTATCTCTTTGTGACTTCCTCTCCCCTTATGAGGATGTTAGTCATGACTAATTAGGAATACCCATATCATCTTACTTTGCCTTAACCTGCTCTGTAAAGACCTATCTCAGTTGATCTGGATGGGGTAGCAACTCTCGAGAGGCTGAAATAGGAGGCCTATGAGTTTGAGGTAAACCTGGGTGACAAGATGAAACCCTGACTGAGAAACAACAAGAACCCATCTCCACATTCTTAGGTACTAGAGGTGAGGACTTCAACACACAGATCTAGAGAGGACCCAGTTCTGCCCATGACCAGTACTGCTTCCATGGTCCTAATAAGACCATGAGTTAAATGTTGGTGTTCAGAGGGTTATGCCTATGTTCTCCTGGACAGCTGGGCATCGGCCAAGAGTAGTACAGCACAGGAGAAGCACATCTTCTGTTCTAGTTTGTCATCCCCATGTGTATCCCTAACATCATCTGGCTGCCTTCAGCTAGTGGCTTGCCATCAAACAGTTGAACTAATGGTTTCATGAATTTGGAGAGGTCACAAGCTTTATCCCAAAAAAAAGATGCAGGTGTGGTCTGGCCAAGCCATGCACATTTACTCCACCAATTGACAAAATGTCTAGTGTTGTAACTGAGTTTGGATGAATTTGGATGGGTTGAAAATAGGTCTATCTGATACCTGTACCATTGGATCTTGATATGGAGAACAAAGGTCACTGTGTGGTGAACACACAGAGAGAAACCTATTTCCTGCATGGAGTCTTATAAGCCTGGCTTTTCTCAGCTCTTCAGTGAGGTGGAATAAGGCCTTCGGCCACCACTAACTTTGGATGAAAGAGATATGCTGGAGCCTTGAGTAGAGCAGGGGATTTTATGGTGAAAGTGGTGGGAGTGAGGGTTTGGACATCACAGGGTTATCCTTCTCCCTCTACAACCCCTGCTTTGTGTGGGTATTAGGTCATTTTCACACCACTTACCTACCTGCCCCCTCCCAGGCTCTGGCATGCCTTTTGATTTAGGGGCCTATTTGTACTCCCAAAGACAAAGCCCCAAGGAGTCAGTGGCTAGTAATTAGAATAGGTCTGTTATTGGAGCAGGCCAGTGACCTTCATTACAAATGACCTTGGGAACTTAAAAAACCCCAGCTGTCAGAGGGCAAGATGGAGGAGAGACAGCATCAGCTGAGCAGTACCAGGTAAAAGAACAAACGCTATCCTATGCTGCATGACCACTGGGCCTAAGAATAATCTTGGGCAAGGCTTTCTGGGGGATGAGCAGGTTGAGAAGCATGTATGAGACGCTCCTCTTCCAAAATCCACGTGGCAGTTCTAGACTTTACCATGTGAGAAATAACTGAGGTTGTGAGATGAGACCTGCCTGTCACTGTTGAGCACTCCCGTGGGCTTTGCTTCTCCACCCTCACATGACCATCTCCATCCCACATGACCATCTCCACCCCACATGACCATCTCCACCCCACATGACCATCTCCACCCCACATGACCATCTCCACCCCCACATGACCATCTCCACCCCCACATGACCACTTCCTGAGCCTTCCCATAAGCCTGTGATAAATGCCGTGTAATATTTCAAGAGCATCTGCACCATGCTCTTCATGGAAAGCCCAGAAGACTCATCGCAGAACCAGTAACATCAGTGCCACCAAGGGTGAGACAAGAACAGAGCCTCAGAGCAGGGCAGAGTTGGCACAGAGGCAGGCAGAGCTCTGAGTTCTGATCTGCAGAATCAGTTCCAGGACAGCCAATGCTAAACAGAGAAAACAAATCAAAGGAACAAAGCTCAGCAGTGGATGAGGATGGGGCACGAATAGCCTGGGAACAGGGAGGTAGAGCGTGGTATTTGGCTGTTACTGGTGAGCAGAAAACACCGAAAGCCCTGTACTCAGAATGGGGACAATGTCACCAAACAGAGTGGTGAAACTAGAACTGTGGAGGCCAAAGTCTGTCCTGCTCTGGCACCCCAACTCTATTCAAAGTTATGCTTAGAACTAAACAAATTGAGGCCCTGCTCCAGAAAATGCTGAGTAGAAAGTAATAGGGGGAGTAGCAGTTTTCACTGTGTTAGAAGGAACCCCAAATCAAACCATCTTCCTACTTAACTTTCATAAAACTCCTTTCTGGCAGCCAAGTCATGACAGTCTCCAACAGGTGATTACATATTAGCCCCAAGAAATGAATTCAACCTTGGCAGTGGTGGCACACACTTTTAATCCTAGCACTTAGGAGGCTGTGTGAGTTCTAGGCCAGCCTGATCTACAGAATGAGTTCCAGGACATCTAGGACTACACAGAGAAACCATGTCTCAAAATATCAATGAGAGAGAGTTGGGGGAACTAGTTCAAAGCTGGGCATGGAGACACACTCCATTAATCTCAGCACTGGGAAGGCAGAGATAGGTGGATCTCTGTGTTTTTGAGGCCAGTCTGGCTTACAAAATAAGAACAAGTTCGAGGGCAGCCAGGGCTGTTACACAGAAAAATCCTATCTTAAAAAACAAAACAAAAGAAAAGGGAAAGGAGGGAGGGAGAGAAGGGGGAAGGAGAGAGGGGGAGGAGAGAAAGAAAAAAATGAGTTTGAGGCTGGGAAGAGAGTTCAGTCAATCAACTGTTTACCATGCAAGCATAAGGATGACAATTTGATCCTCAGCATCACATAAAAAGCCTTGTAATCTCAAGGGTATAGAGACAAGTGCATCCCTGGAGGTCACTAGCTAGCCAGGCTAACCTTCTTGGTAACCCCAAGTCCCAATGAGAGGACCTGCCTCAAAACATAAAGTGTACAGCTCCTAAGGAATATCGCTTGACGTTGACCTCTAGTCTGTACATGCTTGTGCACATGTCTGTGCATACCTATACATGTACACACACACACACACACACACACACACACACACACACACACACCTGTGCATGTACACAAACAAAAATGAATGAGTTCAGTTGTTAGAACTCTAGAAATTGAGTCAGGATGATTCAGAGTTCCAAGCTAACCTGAGCTACAGTGGTGAGTTTGAGACTAACCTAGGCTACTTAGAAATGCATTCAAGGGGGTGGGGGAGAAGAAGTAAGGAAGGCTGGATAGTCAGGTGGCAGACGAGGATGTTTGAAAGGACCTCCCTGAGAGTGTCCCAGGGATTAAGTCTGACACAAGCTACAATGGTATGACTTCCTTCTCCCTGCCCTTTGGAAACCCACAACCAAGTCAAGTGAAACCTGCCCTTCCTACTTCACCCTTGTAGCCAGATCACAACCTATCTCTGAGTGTCTGGATCACAAACCATGTTTGGTCTCTGGGGTGCATGCCTTGCATATAGGACAAGCAGGCAGGATATTCAAATGTCCATTATAGAATTTTCCAGAGAAGCTGGATGAAAATCCACCATCACCACTCTCAAGATTTTTTTTCTATTTGTTTCCTGTTTGTCTTAACTCTTCACTGATGGGAGCAGCAGCACATGCTCCTGGTGACAGTCAAACATTTAGATGTTCAGTGTTCTCTGTGTGCTGCCCACATGCTGGGTTTGCTATGGCTCCTGACATACTATTTTACAGTATGTCAGAGAGAAGGGAAGGAGGGAGATTTGTGAGATGGGCAGGGTCATAATTCTGGAACCAGCAAGCAGAAGTACTTTGGTTCCTCCTTGAAATTTGGATCATTGTGAGCTAGCATGCAGGGACACGGGTGAAGGGTCTGAGGCATCTTTCTTGGTCCCTTGAGTGCTTAAACCTGATTTTAACATGAATGGGTAGTGTAGCACCGATTTCATCTTGGCAGACTATAACAGGGGAGTCATGCTTGTGAGACAAGACAGTTTATTAAGGAGACCATCAATGATGATGTGATAGCCAGGTCTCCAGATGCACTTAGTTCTGAATTTTAAGAAGTTCCCCCACAAGGGGATGCTAGATGCTCATTTGGGCTATGCATGAAGACTTAGGGGATGATGGAGGAATCCTGTAGGACATTATGCAACCTCTTACACTTAGTTCTTCATGGGTGGATTGGATCATAACCAGTAGCTATCATTGCCATTTCATTTGATTTGTTTATAAACATCAACTACCACCAAACCCATAAGGGGAAGGAGTACTTCCAAAGCAGGAGGTGGTTGCTTCTAACCTGGGAGACCGGAGGAGGGAGGACAACATGGCAAGGGATGACCTCAAGGGGACTTGAGCAAGGGTTGTGAGAAAGCAAGAAGAATGCATGTGGAGGTCAATAGAATGTCATGGGTGGCCAGCTAAGGGGGAAGGACATCCCACGGTGGCTTGAGATGGCTGCTTATGGAGAAGGTCGAGTAGAAGAAGGCACAAAAAAGGGCATTTGGGATTTTGAATGAGCTCCCCGGCACTTTAATAGAAAAGGACGGTTGAAGGAGGAGCTTGAGCTAGGGCGGTTGTTGGTGGGCCTCCGCAAACCCGAGATCACTTCTGTAGGTTCCTTGTGACCAATGCAATCCGCCGCCAGTGCATCCTTCAGGTGGAGAGTGAGACCCACTAGTCACAGCTGTTGCCCCATTTCCCAACTCCAGGCCAAGCAGAGCTCTCCACCCTACTACTCCTGAGCCTCGAGACTCTCAGATTGAAACCGACTTCAGGCACCCAGAGATGTCTGAAACAGCTGGGACTCTGGTCCAGTGCCTGATTTTGTTTTTCTCTCCTTCTCCAGAAAGTGGGGGGGGGGAGGCATCTCCTCAGCCAGGAGCCCCGCCGATGTCCACATTAGGTATCCAAGGTTTTAACTGTGTGGGTTTGTGTCTTTTTGGCAGGTGTCTCCTCTGTGACTTCCCTGATGTCCCTGGCTTGGGTGCTAGCCTCCTATCACAAGCTGCTGCGGGACTCCAGGGACGACAAGAAGAGCATGAGTTATAGAGGGGCCCTCATCCACCTCTTCTGGCGCCTCTTCACCATCTCATCCCGAGTTATCTCTTTCGCCCTCTTTGCTTCCATCTTCCAGCTGTATTTCGGGATCTTTGTGGTGGTGCACTGGTGCGCCATGGCCTTCTGGATCATCCATGGAGGGACAGACTTCTGCATGTCCAAGTGGGAGGAGATCCTCTTCAACATGGTGGTAGGGATCGTGTACATTTTCTGCTGGTTTAACGTCAAGGAAGGGCGGACTCGATATCGAATGTTCGCGTACTATACGATAGTCTTGACCGAGAATGCTGCCTTGACGTTCCTTTGGTATTTTTACAGAAACCCGGAGAACACTGACTCCTATGCCGTGCCAGCACTGTGTTGTGTCTTCGTTAGCTTTGTGGCTGGGATTGCGCTCATGCTCTTATACTATGGCGTGTTGCATCCCATGGGGCCGCGGGCTAAGGTCTTTGCCAGCTCCTGTTGTGCCGAGCTGCTCTGGGGCATCCCTTTGCCCCCTGATGTTGAGCCTATGGCACCTCAGACCCCTGGGTACCGGGGGACCCAGGTCACTCCCACCAGAGCCGTGACGGAACAGCAGGAGGACCTCACGGCTGACACTTGCCTGCCCGTATTCCAAGTGAGACCCATGGGGCCCTCCACCCCATCAGGGCGTCCTTACCACCCAGAAGGGCCCCTGATTAAGATTGACATGCCAAGAAAGCGGTACCCGGCCTGGGATGCGCACTTTGTAGACAGGAGGCTGCGGAGGACTATTAACATCCTGCAGTATGTCACCCCCACTGCAGTGGGCATTCGCTACCGAGATGGGCCTCTGCTCTATGAGCTGCTGCAGTATGAGTCTTCACTCTAGAATACCTTGACCCAGATTGAGAAGGGGACCTTAGATTTGGTTGCGGTCAATGCCGCCTGCAAGAAATATAACCCTCCCTTCCCCCAATACACAGAACCACCACCAACACCGCCACCACCACCAACACCACCACCAACACCACCACCAACACTACAAAAAGATCAATAAGTCACATCCCCTTCAGATAAGCTTTCTTTCCAGTCACTATATGTATACAAAGATATTCTCTATGTTTTGTAAGTAAAAACAAAAAGGAAACCTTTCTTTTGTTTTTTACACATAAGAAACAGTATTGGAAAAAATAATCCCACACTACAGTTCCTAGGGTGGAGAAGGAGGAGCTATCTCCTCTCCAAAAGAAACAAACAGAAAAAAGTTTTCTACTTTACACCAAGTGTAGATCATTTATGGGATTGGTGCTGATTGAGAGAATAAAACAAAACAAAACAAAACAAAACAACAAACAAAAACCTTCAACTGCCTTATGCCCTTAGGTGCTGAGTTTCTTTAGGTACTGTCATGTTTTCTCACACAAAACTCTCTGGCAACTTTTGCACCAGGAGAGAAAAAAATTAAATAATCAAATGAAACAAAATCTACCAATAGAGCAAACAAATTAAAACAACAAACAGATATCATACAAAAACAATCCTTCCTATCTGATGATTTGTGTTGAAAAACAAACAAATTGACCAAAAGCAAAGGCATAGAAACCCTTCTTTATTCATTTTTCTCTTGCTCCTTCCCCATTTTTCAAAGCCTTCCAGAAGCTAACGGGCTACTTGGCTCTCCACTGGCCGGAAAAGCTACTCGAAGGCTGACTATGTGCCATTTTAACATTTGCCTAGCAAGAATTACATTGTTTTCCTGTGCAAAAAAACAAACAAAAAACAAAAACAAAAAAATAATAATTAATAAAAAAGAGACAAAACAAGAATGAAACCCCCAAACGCCCAATTTGGTAAATTCTAAAAGCAGAACAAAGGAAGTGTCCATAAACACCATCAAAGAGAATCAGTAATGATAAAACTCAGCATGGTAGAAAAAGGACAACATCAATTTAAAGGCACAATACTCAGTCAGACTGGTGACAATGATCTCTTCCGTCATTTTAAGGCTGAGGAGTGTGTGTGTGTGTGTGTGTGTGTGTGTGTGTGTGTGACAGTGCGAAAGGCCTCTTCTCTCTTCATTTGGTGGGAAGCCTTAAATTGATCTGGAAAGAATTTTTCATTTGTGCTTTTGAAAAACAAAAACATAAAGAGGAACACTAGAGTATCTATCTATCTATCTATCTATCTATCTATCTATCTATCTATCTATCTATAAAAAAGTCAAATCGTATTAACCAACACATTTCACAGACTGGTGCTTATGTCAGTGTGGTTGGCTGAGTCATTCAGCCTGGTGCATTTGGGGTGAGTGGACCCTGTGTGTGTGCACGTGTATGTGTGTGTGTATGTGTGTATGCATGTGTGTGTGTGCACCTGCTGCAAGGTCTTGCCAGAAATACACATAATTGAAGTGAGGCAGATACTGTGGTAACTGGGAGAGGGAGCTGTGAGGGGCTGGACGGGAAGGTGGAAAAAGTGGCATCTGTCTGTGGCCATCTGCCTGGAGAGCAGGTCCCCACTCCAGCAGCAGAGGCTGCTCTTCCAGGCCCTGTGGTTTTGGTGAGGATTGAGCCAACTGTTTATTTTCTCGCTATACCAAGGTGAATTTCTGGAGGTGTCACAAGTATGTCTGACCATTTGTAAACATTTTAATTTGTTTTTGGAAGGTACTGTTCCTTTAAAGAGTAATTCTGTTTTAGGGTATTGTTTCAATACCATTCTATCTCTACTTGGTCACACACACACAAAAAAAAAAAATGAAAAAAAAAAGAAAAAAGAAAATTAATCATAAAAAGAAAAATATCTCCGCAAAAGATATATATGTGTAAATATATATATATATATCTATATACATACACAGTATTTTTAAGTACATACTGTTAGTCTTTGTTGTCTGTGGTTGTGATTGTTTTTTTAATTTTGGATGTAACTGTTCAGGGTGCAAGACCTCACACTGAGCTAAACTTAAGAGAAGTTCAAAAACTGAGGATTTTTTTTATGTTTGATGAATTTTTTAATTTTTTAAAATAACTATTCAAAAAAAAGACCCTCCTTATCACCCCTTCATGGTTTATCTGAATCTCTCCCCCCCCCCCAAACCTTAAACATATAGTTGTGAAACTAAATGTACCCTCCTTATCTCATGTGTTACCACAACTTTGCAGGACTTTCCTAAGATGGGGTGTCAGGGGTCCTACCTAGTCACTGCTCTGGGAAGCAGGATACAACAGAGCACACTGGGGCTGAGGTGAAGGCTGGCTGGGCTGCCTCTGCCTGGCAGGGAGCAAGCCGGGGAGGGAGGGGCTCCTTGGAGCTGAGTGTGAAAGCATGACCTGTTCACTCTATTCTTCAGCACCAAGCTCCAGTCCAGGCTCTGCTCAGACTGGGTTAGAAGAGTCCATTTGTGGGGTGACAGGATATTCCTTTGGGCTCTGAGCCCAAGTCTTGAATGTCCCAGGTCTCGGGCTCTGTGTGCCCTCTGAACCTCTGCTGCTCCACTTGTTTGTCTAGTCTTGAGACAACTGTCCTGGTCATATGACCTTTCATGCTGCATGCTTCAGGCCCAATACAAATCCATTTTATCTCTTGCTCTTTGATCCCACCATTAGCTTTATTCTGCCACCTCTGTGTGACCGCTGTTGGCTGGGAGCATCCAAAGTTGGGAAAACAGAGAAGCTTTAGCCATAGGCAGTGAAGGAGGAGGAAGTTATGGTGTCTCGCCAGCCCTTGCTTTAGCCTCTGTGGGTTTGGGATCCTTTTCTGTTTTAGTAGCATACCTGACCCCTCTTCCATCACGCCTTGCCCTTCCCAATAATGCAATTGAAAATGGACATCTGTGGGCAGTAGCCCAGAAGACCAGAGAGACAAGAAAAGGGGTGAAAAGTGAGCCAAGAAGCAGAGAACAAGGCGGCAGGGAGCAAGGACTGAGAGATCTGTTTTCTCTGGCAGCTCTGCCCTCATCATCTTATAGAGCTCCTTCTCCAGTCTCCTTTGTTTTCAGGGATTACCTCCCATGAAGTCTTCTAGTGTCCTTCCCTTTCAGAGGCTATTGGTGGCTGGATGACATCCCAAGTGTCACTAATGGACTTTACACATTCTCTGTTTCTTCCTCCCAAATGACCTTGGCACCCCACAGCAGGACCACTGCACCGAGGCATAGTGTCCTCATGGCTCCCCACTGGCAATCTGCTTTCAGACTGACAGGTGCCTGGGTCCCCAACAACCTCTCCTTCCATGAGTTAACGAATCCATCTAAGTTTTCCTCAACTACAAGCTATAGTGTTTGTGAAATAAATCTCTACACCTGTCTCTTTCCCCGGACCTCTTGATGGCAAACAACCAACTCCCAATATTTAGTTTTGGTAGATAAGCCTTTTTGGTACCTTGTTCTTTCTTTTCATATTGCCCCCCACAATAGATTATGCCCATAGACCTCCATATTTCATTTCTCTAAGCACACAGAACAGCTGGCTTTTTCTCTTGTTCTAAGAAATACCTCCTATCAGTGCACTGATACTGCTAGCATTGTTTCTGCAAGCCTCCCCTCCACCCCCTAAACTTGGGTGGCTCTGCCTTGGGATTCTTCAGGTGCCTCAAGGACATGGCAGGGGAAGTTCAGAGGATCTAAACCCATCAAATCTGCTCCTATTGACTCCACTTGCCCCAGAATTTCTGATATCTCAAGCACACTGCTCTTTAAGGTCAGACTTGTCCCATAATTGGAACCAGGGCTATTAGGAGGAATACACAAAGTCCAAGTAGATTGGGAACTGGAAGACAGCAGGATCCATCTTTCCTAACTGTCCTAATCAAGGGAAGACGCATGCCCCTGTAGCCTGGGGGACCCTGTACCTTACTCTGTAGACACAGAATCACATAATTCTTTGTCTTCCCTGTGGCCTCTTAACAGCAGTGGCCCCTAGGGTCCCATGGTGGCTAGCAGAGGGCAGATCATGTCTGGTCCCAAGGACAACTGTCCTGCTCATATGACCTTTCATGCTGCATGCTTCAGACCCAATACAAATCCAATTCTCAGGAAAAATATATAGAATTTTAAAAGCACCAAATCATATCACTCTCTCCATTCTTCTTCCAGCCTGGCCCATTGTCACCACGAAGATGTTTGTCTCCTTCTGAGCAGCTCTGGGAAGGTCAGGTGCCCATTCTTCACTTGCATCTGAGCTCTCTTTGCAGTTCCTCCTGCCCAAAAAATAACTCATGATTTCTTTTCCCCTTGTCTATTCCATGCCTCATTAACTGAGTCTCTTATGAGCCCCAAGCTTTGATGATTCTGGACCTGAGAAAAAAATTCTCTCCCCATTACCCTGGAGCAGAGAAAGATGACTGCTATGTGCAGGTTTGGACCCTGGTATAGAGGAGTTTAGAGGAGAATATGGTTGGGGCCTATCCAATACCCTGCAGTGCTAAGTCTTGAGCCACGTGGTTGTGGATGGTCATCTTGCATCTATCTGCACAGCAATTGGTAAATGCTAAAATAACCACACAAGATTTGGCTGGGGACATGGAATACAAATTTGACATGTAAAGGGAAGCGAGGTCAGTATAATTCCAAGGATCCAAGTGGCACTTGAAAAACTGCCAGGGAAATCTGAGCATGCCCCAGGTAACCCTGGGAAAGACAATACATTGGAGAAGGAGAGGACTCTGAGGAATCAGCTTCCTCAAGTACCCAACCAGCCTCCTCGGGAGCAGATCTAGGCACTGCATATCAAACACCAGCTGATTCCTGGGCTCCAGTCTCCTTAAGACACATCATCACCTCCTGCAGGAAGGAAGCTAGCTCAGCCTTGGTCCTTTTATTCCTTAAGGTCTGGGTGAACATGAGATGGCAGTGAGGGAGCCTCCTTCAGGTTTAAGTATGTCCTTACCCTATCTCCTCTCCTCAAAATGAGCTCTGTCCCAGTTTGGGCAGCCTTCCCTTCTCATCTACAGCCCAGTCTCTGGAATGTGATGGCATTGGTAATGGTGACCCAACTGCAGGCTACAGCCTTATCAGCTCATAAGAGCATCCTACGTCAACATGTGCCTGTCTCAACTTTGAAATGTATAACAATGTAAAAGGCAAGCCCACTTTCTTATAGATTTTCTCTAAGCCTTTCTTTTCCCGAGGGAACAGAAGATGTAGTGACAAAGTATGCCTTACCCTCCCCATCTCTGGCTAGTCTAAAGTTTTCTGTTTCTCACTCCAAATGTTGCATCTGTTGCTATTGGCCAAATATCAGAAGATATTATTGACTTGACCTCGTCCCAACTTTCTCCTCTGCCCACCTGGCGCTTACTGCCTTGCTCAGCTCCCAGGCATCATCTTCTTTCTCTCTGTACCTTTCTTCACAGTGACTGGCAGGGCACAGCAGGGGTGTTCTGGAGCCAAAGGTTATGAGTGCTATTAATGATGGCTCCAAAGCAGCAGACAGACTGCCTCTGCAGGAGATCCTCCTTCTCCAGGCCAGCACCTACATGTGTCAAGGGCTAAGAATAAACCACAGGGACAGGAATAGGCAGGACCTAGGGAGAGCTGCCCTGAGATGCCCATTGCATGAAGAAAAATGTGAATGTCCAAGTAAGAGACGCTGTCCTAGCTGGTTCCTAGCAGGAGTTCCCTACTCCCCTCCCCAAACTGAAGTCAGTCAGCAGTCAATATTCCAGCCTTTAGGGAGATAGCTTCTAGATCATCACCCTCAAGCCAAGTGAGAAAATATATTTATGACTTTGCTCTTGGTACAGTGCTGGATGGTAACTGGAAGAGC